GAGAGAGAGAGAGAGAGAGAGAGAGAGAGAGAGAGAGAGAGAGAGAGAGAGAGAGAGAGAGAGAGGATGAGATGCAGTGGAGCAGCGTGAAATTGAATGAATGACGATGCAGTCTGCAGAGCCTATCATGGCGCATCGCAGTATCGGGGAACGCGTAGTGGGATGTGGCAGTCGGCCGAGCATCGAGTCTCGCCACCCTGGAATGTATTCTCCAGAAAAGAGGCTCAGCGTAGATGTGTGCGGCTATACTTCTCAACCCCGTCGCCGCCGTCCGGTGGGCGATAGCAGAGAGCAGTTCATCGTGGGGTGCTCGACGGAACTCAGTTATTGTGCGACGTCGGGCCGCACGTGCGTTGCATGTGCTGCTTTCTGAATCGCGACTGCATACAGGAAGTGCGCATGTAGTTGGAATTGCTAACTACGAAGCGAATTGCCGTGTGCGATGGTCGGGATTACCTCTGCTATGCTGTGCTGTGCTATGCTGTGCTGTGCTATGCTGTGCTGTGCTATGCTGTGCTGTGCCGTGGGATGAAACTTGCTCGTCGAGCAGGCGAGGCGAGGCGGGTCAAAATTTGCGAGGCCACAGAGACAATAACTATGTAGAGCACCGGTCGACACACTGGCACCGGTCGACACACTGTGCGGCAGTTTGGGTCGGAAGCTACGAGGACAAAGGCGAGCCTACCAGGTACTAGTTCTTTCGAGAATGGAGTTATGGCTGGTGGTTAGTCATATACGATCCTTAGCTGTTAGCTGGCAAACATGTTAGTTTGTCACGTTTCCCCAAAGAACTCGCTTTGAGATTCACTAGTCCTTGGGATGACTTGTGAGCTTTAGTTTCGCGGACCCTTTACTGTTTTGCGGTCTAACTCTTTACCTCTCTCTCTCTTTCACACAGGGAGCGATGGCGAAGAGTACGCAGGGCTCAGGAACGCGCAGCGTCACGCTTCCTTCTTCTGTCAGTGGAGTAAGGGAGGGGAACGGTGATGGAGGAGCGATGTCGGAGAGCACGCAGAGCGCACGGATTCCTTCTTCTGTCAGCGGAGTAAGTTCGCGTGTTCTCGTCCGTCCTTCAAGCCGACTTCCGTTGTCAATCAGTCTGTGGACGGTGCCGTGCGTGGTGGTTGGTGGATACGTTTTTTTTTCGTTTTTTAACTTTTGTTTTATGCCCGTGTCTTCTTTCTTTTTTCCTGTTTCGACCGTAGAGTGTGAAATCGCCCCATATCCCTTTGCATATTTTGCTCGACTGGGAATCAATCATCTGTTGCGTGATTCTCTGAGCTCTCCTTCCGCTCCTCCATTTCCTGTTCGCTTTCAAGTGACTAACTTTTGGAGCGCTTGTGGCTGTCGTTTGTACGACTTGCCATTCGGCTGAAAGTTATGACCTTCGGCGAAATTCAGGGCAGAAAATGGGGTGACGTGTCCCTCGTATACTTAAGGAAGTTGTGAAGGTGCCGCAGAAAGATGCGGTTGAGCGGTTTTAGCACTCTTCGGAACTTTCTTTCGGCGGCTGTTTTGAGCGCTGACGTGGCTCTAAGATGAGAGGAGAATCCGTTCGTAAGCTGATGAGTGTTTACCGTGTAGTGAGGAGGGAAGACGTTCTCCATTGCTAGTGCAATTGGACTTCGCTGATTAATGGAATGTGCCGTTAGCTTATGGGAGCTCTTTTCTTCTTTAATCGATGCCAACCACCGTGTATATCTGCTTTCCCTACTTCGTCGGTAGTTGTGTTGGTTGCCCACTCAGTCGTCGTACTGTCGTTCTTCTGTTCTCACGACGGCGGTGACCAGGCTCTGTGTGTGTGTGTGTGTGCTGTCTCTTATACACATCTAGATGTGTATAAGAGACAGGAACATAATCAAATCGGTTCATGAAATCCCGTTCGA